AAACGATTTACATCAAACTTCCAAGACCAGAGGATTCCAGTGTCACACAGCTCTCCCAGGGAACAAGCAAGCAGAATTTCACCCTAGCTTGTCTCACGAAGCTGGCAAATTCTCAAAACTAAAATCCGACAAAGATGCTATGAAAAAGGCAAGTAAGAGGCCAATGTTGGTCACAATACAGGAAGCAATGCTAAAGGAAGGATTTGCAGACTCGTTCACCCCATGGATAGAGTGGAAACTGTGACACTTCTGGATGGATTGATCCTAGCAACACTAGGTTGATTTGATATTAGAATTCAAAACAATAATGTTCAAGACTGAACATTTTGAGGGAATAAACAGAATTATCATGGTATACTTAAAAAAGTACTTGAAAAAATTATGCTTGCACTTAAGCTAAATACTCTTAACAAATTAGAAAAAGGAAAGGATCTCTTAGTCAGGAAGATTTACATGCACACACACACAAATCATACTCCACACATCACACAGCATACTCTTACATACTCATATGCAACTACACTTACACACACTCATTCATACACACATACCACACTTCACACATTCTCACACACATTACACTACATACTCTTACATACTCATATACAACCACACTTATACACACTCATTCATACACACATACCACACTCCACACATTCTCACATACACCATGCCACACACTCTACACACATACACACACACACACACACACACACACACACACACACACACACACCTCATATTCTCATAACAAATATAACTCAGTAGTCAAATTCTTTGCAAGGTCAGGCTTAAGACATGGGTGTCTGTCAATACACTGTGTCACACAGTAAACAGGAAGTCCTCTCCAGTGTCGTAAGATAAGAAATCGAGATAAGCAATAACTGAAGAGGAAGAAATGAAAATCATAAAATCTGTAGGCGTGGCTATGTACATAGCAATCCCTAAAGAGTCAACAAACCATTTATTAGGATTAATAAGGTAATTTAGCAGGGTGCCTTGAAAAAAACAATCAATATATTAAAAACAATTCTATTTTCAGAGAGGATATTATTTTAAAATATTTTGAACTAGGAACCAAAATATACAGAAGAATAATCTTGATAAAACCACCTGTGGATTAACTTAAAGGTAACAATTATAAAATTCTCTTGCAAACAAGAGCGACATGAAAGGGAAACAAATCACAGGCTGACACAGGAATGTCTGATGCTGTCTAGATAAAAATTCCCAAACTTACTTATGGTCAGTACAAGTTTAATCAGAAGCCTCAAAGGCCCTTGTCTTTTACAAAATGAAAGACAATATAAAGAATGGCCAAGAACTGTCAAGACATCTTCAGTGAAGGTTGAGTGGCTGTAGAGCCGCCCCACCAGATATCAAGATCTCTTACAAAGCTACAGTGATTAAGGTTTTGCCATATTCTTGAAGCAATGAACTACTTAATGTGAGAGAGAATTTCTAAAACTTTAGGAATAGAATATAAGAGGGAGTTCTTGGGATCTCCAGGCAGAAAGAGAATTTACTCAACAAGACAAGAGAAAAAGAACCCAATGGAGAAGACAGATGCATTTGGCTATGCTGAATCTAGGAACTGTACAATAAACACAGCCATCCTTCTGTGTAAATGGTGCGGTGTTGGTTCCAGAACCACCTGTGGATATCAAATTCCATAGACATCCAAATCCCTTCTCCAGAACAGTATGTTATTTACATCTTCCCTATGCAAAACTTCCCACATACTTCAAATCACCCCTCCCTCGGTTATTTGTGATTACCTCATACAATGTCCATGCTGTGTACATGGTTGTTATGCTGTATTGTTTAGGAACAATGGCAACGTCTGTACATGTTCAGCTCAAAGGCAGTTTTTAAAATAAAGTTTTGATGTGTGGTGGTTTGAATCTATACATGTAGACCATGTGAATACAGATGGCTGCCCATAAATGGGGTGGAAAGATAGGCTACAAGACTAGAGACTATATTGGGCAGTTGTATGCCGGTGATCTATATAAAACTAGAAAAATATCACACGTAGAATATACTAATAACTTCTAAAAAGATTTTATTTTTAATTTATGTGTATGAGTGTTTTGTTTATGTTAGGAGTTATGAGCATTATGCATATACACACATATGCAACACACATGTAGTTCCAACAGAGGCCAGAAGATTTCCCAGAACTGGAGTTACAGGTGATTGTGAACCACCATGATGTGTGAGCTGGAAACCAAACCCTGGTCCTTTACAAGAGCACCCAGGGCTCTTCACCACTGAGCTGTCTCTCCAGCTTCAATATGAAAGTCATGCTTAAACAGTAACCAATACCAAATGAAGTCCAAGAGGAAAGGGAAGATAAGGTAAGAATAGCACAGGAAGAAAACATTTGCGAAAGACATAAAAGATGAGCCACCTTATTCCCGATCAAAGTAATATAATGTGCTCAGCTCTGTGAAACACTATGAAACTCCCACTGTGGAGGCCAGGATGAAACAGTCTCCTGGGATCAAGAGGCACTGAGGATGCTGGGACACAGCAACTCTTACACAAGGCTAGTCTCTACCTTGGAGCAGGTTTACCACAGCTGACCTACACTTGACCCAGCTACTCTGCCCATATGTAGATATCCTGAAGGAATGCATGTCCGTGCATATAATGATATGCATGGAACACTACTTACAGTGTCATTGCTGATATTGGCAAACCTTCAGAGTTTGTGGAGAACAAAAGCAAGGGAGTCTGGGAAAGATGGAAGCACCAGAGAACATATGAAGGCACTTGGAGGCATGTCTATGAGCCGGGTACTTGATATATCTGAATATGGGGCTGATCGGAAGAACCGTTTGTTTTGGCTCCAGCCAAGATCAACTGCTTGGGTGCAGATGTGGAGATTTAAATAGAGTCAAGACTTCTCAGGGTGGGAGTGAGAAGCGACGGTGAACTGACAGATACTGAGAAGGTGGTGGAATCAATGGGTTGGAAATTCTGATTGGTCTGAAGAATTCTGCACCGTGGTGCTGCCAAGTCAGTGGGGTGGAAAGGTACCAGGTGTGGTCAGAAAACGGAATGCGTACACCTGAGCTTTTGCATAGAGAACAATTACTTGCCCATCTTCCCCTCCCCTACTGAGAGCAAAGCATACCATCAGGTGTAGTCATATGGCAGAGAAATGGGGCATGCCAGAGTCAACAAAACATATCAGGTGTTCTGGAGACTCGGTGGGTGTGTGAGGTCACTAGGGTGATAGGAAAGGGCACGAGCCTGATGGTGAGGGAGGATGATGAGTAAGAGTCTAGTAGGCGGCTTCAGCAAGGAGGAGTGGCAGCTGGTACTGTCTGATAAAAGTCACTTCAGTGGAGATAGTGATGCTGGGGAGAAGTGGAGGGGAAGTGGCTGGCCAGCGGTAGGTAACAGCAGGGAACACTAACAAAAAAATAAATTGTACATTCTAAACGGTGCCCAGTGTCTATGGGTTACCAGGCCTACCAGTGGAGGACCACAAAGCCTTCCCCTCACATTGCTTCTTCCAGGAGCATCTGTCTGCAACAAACCACCCACCAGCCATTCTCCCTCTGGCCTCCACCTCCTTGGTGAGCAAAAGCTTTCCCAAATGTACCGATATTAGCTGCTACTTCCAAAGGAACCCTGGTGACCTGTGCAAACCATTCCCCCTCTCCTTTGCAAGGCTTTGTACAGTGCTGAAGCACCACCCTGGCAATCTCTTGGACTTCTGTTAGGTAGGTGATGGCTCAGTCTTGCTGTCTCAGTTTTGCTCACTGTTCTAGGCCACGGATTGGGGCAGCTTCAGCACTGAGCAGAGTCAAGTCAGCTCAGAATGCAGGAATGGGGCCAGGCTGGCTCCCTTGCAAGGTCGTCTGACACACCAAGGGCCATCACTGGACAGAGTGGTTGTAACCTCTCAGCACATACACACTCCTCAAGGTTGGGGGTGGAGATAGCTGTGAGATTCTCGGGATAATGACTAAGATGGAGTGACCAGGGGACTGTCAATCAATTCAATCCCCCATGCAGAGAACAGTGATCCAGATTAGAAGATACAGTGCTAGGTAGTCTGGGTCTTTGGACAGACAGACCTTCAGAGTCTATGTGTGATGTGGATCAGATGGCACAGAGAGGCACACAGGAGCCTGAGCCTTTAATGACTCCCACATTGCACAGCCGGAGCATTTAGAACAAGTTGGAAGTGGTTCAAAATAAAAATCTAAAATGAAATTAGACCCCCTCTGCCTCCAAGGCTCAGATTTCACAGTCAGAGTTGTGAGGGGTGTGGATCTGTGACTACGGTCTCTAATGTTATTTACCACTTACTAAGTGCCTCTCACCCCTGAGCACCAGGTGAAAAATAACACAGACCTAGTGGAAAACGCATGAACTGTGGACCAAGAGCTGAGGAGCCCCCATGGTACTGGACTAGGCCCTCTGGATAGGCAAGACAGTTGTTCAGCTTGAACTGTTTAGTGGGGGCTAAGCAGGCAGACAGTGGAATTGGGACCCATCCCTGGTACATGAGCTGGCTTCTTGAAACCCAGTGCCTATGGTGGAACACTTTGTGCGGCCTTGGTGCAGGGAGGAAGGGCTTGGGCCTGCCTCAGCTGAATGTACCAGGCTCTGCTGACTCCCCATTGGAGACCTTGCCTTGGAGGAGGTGGGAATGGGGGTTGGGGGAAGGCGGGGGGGGGGGGTGGGAGGAGGGAGAAGAGGGGAATCTGTGGTTGGTATGTAAAATGAATAGAAAATCTCTTAACAATAATAATAATAATTAATAATAATAATAATAATAAAGAAAAATAATACAGACCATTATCTGATGAATGAAGGAAGAGACAGGACTGAAATTATCATGATGTCAGAGAGACTAGAAATGTCAAAAGCTGTTTTAATTTAATCGATCAATCGGTGGGAAAAGATACAAAAAGGATTCCAAGCATGACATCCCTGCAGCCTCGGATACTAGAAGGTAGCTAGGACAATGGTGTTACCTGTTAGTGACATAGTCCACAAGATGCTGCTTGAACGTGAGGCTCCACTTCTTTATTGTGTTCAACAGAGATGCCTTGAAGGGTCGCACATCAACCTGCATCCAGCCGTCAAACACTTTGGTGGGCTCCAGGCTGACCACCTCTTCGTAGAGCTTTTCATAGGAGTCTATCTGAACTTTAAAGTGATGGAGGAGGGGTGGATTCTCTGGGATGCCATCTTCTGCGTGGGCTTCTATCTCCTCAGGTGTGAGGACATGCCCATAGAGCAGAAACTGACCAAGAATCTCCTTCCTGTCCTCCACGTACAGGTAAGAATACTGGCTGAAGGTATTCCGATAGCCACAGCAGAGGGTCATCATACTCTGCACCCTCTCCATGACCGTGCTCCGTAGGCTGGCTAAGTCAGCCATGTCCTCCAGGTCACCCTGGGGGAGAGAGACAACAGCAGGGAGGTTATACCTGTGCTTAGTGAGATCTTCCCGACGTGGAGGAAGGCAGATGCTTGCAGGTCCAGTACCTGATAGTGAGGAGAGTCACTGTGTGGGGACAGCCGAGGTACCAGAGATGGTATTGCAAAAATGCTGCTGAGAAGACTCTCAACAATGTCATATAAGCCCCCCTTCACTCCAGAGTCCAGAGATGGGTGGAAAATCAGTTCTGGAGGGACAAGGCTGAGCTGTGCTTCAAATATTGGGGTAATTCCAGCCTTACACTCTGGAAAACAAAGGGACAGAACGACGGTGAGTGGGACAGGTGGGTAAGGCACCATTTCCTAAATCCTGGACTCAAGCATTTCTTTAGAATGCAGGCAACTGACAATGTAAATTTTGCCTGAAAGTGGGAGGGGGCAGCCCTGTGGCAGTGTGTCTCCACAGGGAACTGCTGACATTCTGAATAAGCCCTGGTTTTTGTGGGGGGCTCTCTTGGGTATCACAGGACATTTACTTTCCTTGTCCTTGAAGAGCACACTCCAGTGACCGACCAACCCAAGCCAGTTTCCTTCTACATTCTCAACTGCCTCTTAGGGTGATGCTGCTTCTAAAGAAGGGCCCGAGTAGTCAGCCATACAATCCCACCTTTATCCTTTTCATGAGTGGGGTATGCCTGCCCACGGTCACACAGTAGAGAACACCAAAAAGTCACAACCCTAAATTTTCTGTTCCTTTTCTATAAACATGGGGATCACTTTAATTCTGCAGTCTTGCAGTGATAAAAATTTTAAAAACAGCATAAATAATTTATAGATTCCTGATTACTTGCTAGACGAAGTTGCCTTGTTAGATTTAAGTCAAAATATAACATGAAGCACTGTGTTCAATGTATAAGATAAATACTTAAAGTTTTACCAGTAACCACTGACAATTGTGCATCTTTTGAGAGTAGAAAATAAGTGGGAGAGTGTTGTGTGATGGATAGTGTGGGCCAAAGAGTCTCCTGACTGAACCACCGCCCTTCTATTTCCTAGCAAAAGAGCTCAGACTAGGTGTGTGACCAAATTCCTCAGCTCTATGTGGAGTTATGTGTAATAATGTGACTAGGGGAAGATGGAAAGGGACCCCAGGGTTCAGGCGATCCTTTCCTACACATTCCTTTTTCCTTCTCACAGACTATAGCTTGGATGTGACATGACTCTCTCAACCATGGAATGAGTCCAAGCCCTAGAGAATGGCAGAGCTATAGAATAAGAGCAACCTGCCACAAAACAGCCATTCTCATGGACTATTACTTGGGGTGGGGTGGGCTTTATTATCCCTTACATCACATTTTGGATGGAGCTTTAGTTACCGTAGCTTGGCCATCCACTTTAACTAAAAACTACAGGGTCCTCAAAGATCCCACGTTAAGACTAAGATTTTACTTGGAAACCACAGAGATCAAATAATGAGTATGGACTGTAGGACGCAGGAGGGTCTCAACAAGTGCGTTTTAACCTAAGGGAGAGAAGTTTGCCAAGAGTCTCGCAGGCTTGATGTCTGGGGAGAGCCAGGAAAACAACAGCAGCAACAACAGCATGAACAGCAACACAATCCCGTGGAATTCATCTTTAAGTAGGGTGGGCATCACTTGCCTGAAATGCTCGGCACCAGAAGGACTTCAGGTGAGTTAGACTAGCAGCATAGTCTGCTCACGGGACACTCTTATTCCAAGTCTCAAATGGCATGAAATCCAAAATTTTTAGAGCTTGGTTAGTAGCTCAGAAGAGTTTGGATTTCAGATTTTTCAGTCAGGGTACTCAAGGTGCTGTCAATGCACATTGCACATTACTGTAAACATCATATGTCAGTAGAAAAAGCTGCATGTGGTTTATTTACAGCACTTACTAGCGTTGAAAGAAGAATATTTGAAAGCTACTGGACTTTTCATCACACAGGCTAAGATAAGAACAAAATCCCTACATTGAATAAAATGCAGACATCATTATACAGGAGGAAAAGTGCCCCACTTCCTCAATGGAGGTACAAGCCAGGCCTTTAGCAGGTAAGCTCTACCAGGTGATTCTTGGTGGTGTAGGTAGCATGTAATTTCTTATTTGTGCAAATTTGAGCAGATATGACAAAAAAAAGCCATAGAGATATATAGGCTTGACCCAACTCAGGGAGGCAAAAATGGACCCAATAGGAAAAATCTAGTGTCTTTATGTCTTTATCTGTAAAAACATGTTTTTTTTTTTGGTAGGGTCCTTCTATGTAGCTCAGTTGGCCTGGAATTTACTATACAGCCCCTGCTGGCCTCAAACGTGTATTTCTCCTTCTTCAGCTTCCTAGATGCTAGGATTACAGGTGTCCACCAGCATACCTGGGCTTACATTTTACCTGTAATGCCTCAGTGGTAAAGCCCATGTGCTGTTACAAAATATTCACCACTCAAAGAATTTGGAAGGACCATATTTTGAATAAAAGGTGTTCCTGTTTTCTGGTCTTCATGAAGGGATTATTAAATTGGTAATCTTAGAGAAACACTGGCAGCTACTCTCCATCCTTTCGTTTCCGATCTTGTCTTCCATTAGAGGGCAAGCGGCACATACGACCATTCCATATCAACAGTCAGATAGCAACTAGGCAAGGGTGGAGTCACTAACCTGAGATGCCATCTGTGGGCACTGTCCCTAAAGTGGCTGTGGCATCATCCTAGGTCTAGACAAGGGTTGAGTGGGAGGCTGCCCAAACTTCCAACATCAGAAGTCTGTCCCGTTCAATAAGGAGAGAACACTCATGTTGGTAGCTAAGGGGTAGATCTTAGGTTTCAGCATCCATGTTCCATGCCCCAGGCTCTAGAAACTAACCTCCCAGAGTGCATTGCCGTTCTTCTTTCATTTGGAGCAGCCCTGCTCCCTACAGGCAGAGACCACACTTTACATCCCAGCCCGACCAGCTACCAACGGCATGGAGTTGGTTTTGCAGCTGTACTGAGCTGAACACTGCTCCCGTCTCCATCCTCAACATGGGCCCCCTCTCTCACAGGCTGGGTATCAGGATTCTTGTCGGCTAGCTGATATTATCTCTGTACTTGGTTAGACCTGACATTAAACACCTATCTCATTTTGATCCTCTGCCTTCAAAATATTCCTTTGCTGGTGTACTTTGACTCACTCTTCAACACAACCTTTGCTAGGCAACCCAGAATCTACCAGAATGTGAAAGTCTAATTTTTAATCTTGAACTCTTCTGCCCTTTCTAACTCACCATTTACTAGCCAAGCTGAGCTGTTATAAGGTTTTTGACTCTGTGCACTTTACCCCAGTTTGTCCACCCTAATTCAAAGCCTTTACCTATTTCTAATAGCTTCAGAGATGGCTTGTTACCTTCTTAACATTTCTCTTCCTTCTGAGAGCTTTTTTCTCCCTTGCTTCTTGTCTCTTTTTCACACATAATTCTGTTTTTTTTCCCACTTTGCCTGGTAACTTCAAACCCTCTGTGTTCCCCAAAGGTCACAGAGCTAGAACATATGGAGGTTGAAGGCACAGGACATCCCCCATCTGCCCACAAGTCAACTGTGGAGGAAGCTGTCCTTAGTAGCCATTTCCTGTGGCTCCAGCTTCAGCCATTTCTCTCCTGGACCTTGAGTTTGATCAGGTACTCATTTTGATTTTGCTATGGTCCTTATGATCTTACAGCCTGGTGTGTCACGTGACATTTAGAGTCATGATTGTTTTCCTTTGGCACCACCCTTTGCTAGTTTACTCTGTATCACTCATAAAATACCCTAGCACTTTGGCAAACCTCAACTACACTTTAATACAGCACTGGATGCTGCTGCTATCTACCCAGCCATGGCCCATTGCCATCCATTGGTAGTCACCAGTGTTTTCCAGCAGATATTTGAGAGAGCACTCGATGGCCAGAAAGAATCCATCCAACAACATGGAATCAATGTAGTTAACGTAAGTCTTCCAGATGCCAGATGCTGGGTCTGCTGCAAACAGAACCAGGTTTTTCCTACAAAAGAAAGAAGAAAGGGGTGTAAGCCATATTTAACAACACAGGAGAACTGGCAAAATCATTGCCAATAGGAACGCACACAAATAAAGCTCTCTGCAAAGAGTTTGCAGTTACATGTCCTCACAGTCTGTCTGTCAAATGGGGAAAGCCACTGATTAAGAGGAACATAAATCAGTTCGGTGAAGGAGATTGGGGGTCTTGTCTGCCCCCGAGGATGGAGGATAGGATCTGACTCGATTCTCACGAGGAATGCAACACATGTGTACTTTGCCACTGCTCACTGCTCATACTGCTGAGGGGAGAGCATCAGAGGAGGAGGTAGGGTAGGCAGAAGGATGACTAGCATTCAGGGCTGCAAAGCATTTCCTGGATAATCCTTAGAAATGGGCTGTGCTCTATGGTTGGCATTTGATATTGATTAAAGGCCTTATATCATCACACTGAGTAATTTAGAAAACTAACTATACAAGAAATCTCCTGCTTTCCTCTCTCTCTCTCTCTCTCTCTCTCTCTCTCTCTCTCTCTCTCTCTCTCTCTTCCTCTCTCTCTCTCTCTCTCTCTCTTCTCTCTCTTCTCTCTCTCTCTCTCTCTCTCTCTCTTCTCTCTCTCTCTCTCTCTCTCTCTCCTCTCTCATCTCTCTCATCTCCGTCTCTCTCTCTCTCTCCTCTCTCTCCTCCCTCCTCTCTTTTCTTGACGTAGGGTACCCTGAGTATTACCATGGGTAACAAGGTTTGGGACATCAAGGAAAGGAAACCTAAGTGTTCAATGATGCTCAGCACAGACATCCATCTGCTTTTCATCATTTTTCATTAAGACTTTACAGCCTCTTTCCAGGGAGCTGATGTTTTCAGAGAAGGCAGTAGGTAACCCGGGGAGGGTGACTCTCTTAAATGGCTCACACTTATCCCTTTAGGAAACACTGCCACATTATAGATCCTGCTGGAGCTTAATGATTTCACGATCCCTGCTTTTAAGTGACACGACTCTAAAATTTTTAAGATGCATTACCAACGCCTTTACATCCTAAGTAGATTTAAGGTTTTCTTAATGACTTTAAGCCTACCATTATGCAAATTGTAATACGTGATGATGTGCAGTGGCTTGCAGGTGCTAAGATGTATGTTTCTACACTAAGTAACGGTTAGGCTTATTTTTATGTGACAAACTTCTGTTTCACACACAAAAAAGTCAGGCCTAGAAAATAGAGTAGATTTTGGGTTAGATAAGACCATTGTAGTTGTAAAACAAACAATGAACAAGTAATCCAAGTATGTTTTGCACATACCTGCAATCCTAATTCTCAGTAGGCTGAGAGAGGCCAGTCTGGATTAAATAGGGAGACCCCCCCAAAAAAAAAACAGCTAAGGAAATAGTCACAAGGTAATAACAAAAATAAATCAAAACAACGAAGGAAAGCAAAATATCTTCTCAAATCTGGTAAAAAGAAGATCCAAAGATCTTGTAAATTCCAAGCAGGGTGAGAGCAATGAAGAACCACTCAGGCACATCATAGCCAAATTGAAAACTGAGAAAGGATTAAGCAGCCATCTATTAAAAGCAACTTGAAAAGAGGCAATATATCCCAGAGAAAACAAAGATACAATTAAGGCTTGCTTCTTATGGAACACAGTGTGGGCATGAAAGCCAAGCCACGACATATGCAATAAAACAAGACTGCACAGGATTCTGTATGCAGTAAAATTGCCCTTCTAAAACCAGATGAAGTCAAAACATGTTGTGCTCAAAGCTGAGCCGATATGTCAACATGAGGTCTGAACTCCAGGTCTAAGAGAAATGAGTGTAGGTAGGTAGCTCAGATCTACAGAACAGAATAAAAAGCATGACTATGCTGAGTGTGTGGGTAAAAAGAAAACACTATCACTAATATTTTAAAGTTACTTTTACAAAGAAGGTGGATAAATCATTTATAATTTAGTCGAGGATGCATTTCCTTACTTTCTTTAAATTTGTATTTATTTTCGAAAATTTCATAAATGTGCATAATGTATTTTGAACACATTCACTTCTCATCACTCTCCCTCATCCTCCTCCCATGCCTTTTTGGTACCTTCTTCCCCTCGGTGAGTCTTCCTCCTCTTTTCATTTCTTTTTTCTTAAAATTGAATGAAAGAAGTCCAGCAGCATTAACATATGAATGATTGATTATGCTACTATATTTACTATATTTAACACATTGACATAGCACAGATGTTATATAACGAGGTATCTTAGTTTTGCTTTCTATTGCTGTGATAAAATACCCCCCCCAAAAAAAAATGAAGGGAGAAAGAAGTGTTTTTTAATCTCATAATTCCAGTCCATTATTGTGTGAAAGTCAAGGACTTAGGTACTTGAAGTGGGAACAATACTCTCCCAGTCAAATGGAGAGAAAAGTGAAACATGCCAGAGCTAAGCTTGCTCTCACAGGCTCATATGGTCCAGGATCCAGCCTGTCAAACTTGAACCACTCATGTTCAGGCCGGGCTCAAACAACCTCTGGAACAAAATTCCTCACATGCTTGCTTAGAGGCCAACCTGGGATCATTTCTCTTTGAAACTCTCTACCTAGGTGAATGTACATTGTGTCAAGTGGACCAGCCAAGCTAACCATCATAAGGGGGAAGGGTTGAATAGGTCTGCCCTTTCCAAGGTCTCTGCTTCTCAGGATGAAACTGAGTTGAAACCTCAATCAGCTCCTAGAAATGGAAGGCCATCGTGTAAAAGCTGGAACAGCAACTGAGCTGTCAATTGGATGCCGAAAATTACATGTGGATCCACAAGGTCATGGACACAGAAAAGCAGAGGGATAGAAAGAAACAAAAGAAACAGGAACACAGCAGAAATAGAGACCATTATATCCATCTTGCACATAAACAATCCAAGGATTCCAATTAAAAGATGGAATTGTTACTGATAGTAATACATTTCTTGGACTGAGAAAGACAGCTCAACAGTTAAGAGCACACGCAATTCTCATAGAAGACCCACATGAGCTTCTCAGCATCTACGTCAGATGACTCACAACCACTTGTAACTTCAGCATCTGGGGACCCCGTGCTACCTCTAGACTCCATGGGCACCTGCACTAACTGTTGGTAAACATACCAACAGACATACACATACACACATAATTTTCAAAAATCTAAGAAATTATAACTGCTTCTACTGTATACTGGTTACAAAGGGGAACATTTTTGAATACAGAGAAATCAATAGGTTGAAGGTAGAAGTGTGGGGAGACAGATAATGCAAATAATAGAAATAATGAATTGGGAAGGAAAAGTTACATTATTATCAGAAGAAGGCAGACTTCAAGATGAAGGAGTATTATTGGAAATCAAGTGGGACTTTCACAATGATGGTTCAGTCAGTCCATCAGGGAGTTATGATAACTGTAAATTATAAGTGAGCTTGTGCCAACAGAGCTCCTACCCGCGATGAAAAATTTGACAGGACTAAAGGATTAAATGGACACATCTAAAATCACAGAGATTTTAATAGTCCACCTCCATCAACTGATATAACAGATAGATCAACAAGGCCAGAAGGCATCCCGGAGCTCCTGACAGTACCATTACATCTCTAATTCAAAGAATGCCACACCCAACAACAGAAGCACAGCCAGACTGTGGGCTGGAATGTAGAACAAGTCTCAGTTAATTCTGAGCATCTCTCTGACCACAGAGTGAAAATTCCATTAAGATATGCAGAGAAGCCCCAGATGTAAGGAGGTTAGAAAACATACTCCGAAATGACCAATGGGATGTAGAGAAATTAGAAAACATACTCCGAAATGACCAATGGGATGTAAGGAAATTAGAAAACATACTCTGAAATGACCAATGGGATGTAGGGAAATTAGAAAACATACTCTGAAATGACCAATGGGATGTAAGGAAATTAGAAAACATACTCTGAAATGACCAATGGGATGTAGGGAAATTAGAAAACATACTCTGAAATGACCAATGGGATGTAGGGAAATTAGAAAACATACTCTGAAATGACCAATGGGATGTAGGGAAATTAGAAAACATACTCTGAAATGACCAATGGGATGTAGGGAAATTAGAAAACATACTCTGAAATGACCAATGGGATGTAGGGAAATTAGAAAACATACTCCGAAATGACCAATGGGTTAACAAAGTGGCCCCAGGGAAACACTGAAGTGAATGGTGAGGTGAGTCGGGTTGAGACTGTGGCTTGGAACCAACACACCGCCAAAGGGCTCTCATCAAAGGGAGAAAGAGAGTTCTAATGTCAAGACCCTAAATTTCTATCCTGGCAGTCTATTTAAAAAAGACAAACAAATACATCCTAAAATTACTAAATCTGGGACCAAAAGATGTTAAAAAAATAAAGTAAGAATGTTTATCTTAAATGGCATAATTTAGGCAATTATCTCCTTCAGTTAACTGGTCATCATTAGCATTCATGTCTGGACATCTTAATTGTGTTTCAAACCAGAACCTTTGTAAAATGGTGATGTATTCCTGACATGAGTCAACCTGTCAATGTCCATGACTTTTTCAGTAGGGTTGGGGCAGGTGGCCATTTATATCCCAATATTCACAGAGAAGCTTTAGTTGTTGATGCGGGGACATGAGGCTGTCCTGGCCATACCACAGGACAAAAAGCCTTGCTGTATGAGCTGTGGCACTGTGAATTCTTTCTTCTTCTGATCGAAGACAGGGATGCCATGGCACTCTCTCATCTCTCAGAGCTCTTTAAAGATAGGTCATAAGGAAAATGCAGTAAAGCCACACCAGGCTGCGTGGGCGGGGGTTGGCTGGTTAGCACAGTGGATGATTTAGGATTCTGCTTTGCCATCTCCTTCTAGTTTGAGGGGTTAGGGGTAAGACTTGAGTTAATTTTGACAGTGTTGATACTGACACATTGATTTTGGGCGCCTGTTATCTGTTAGCCCCAGTTATTTTACTGTTAAAGTTTTATTCTTGCCTGCAGAAGACACAGCATCTATTGATTATTCTAATGCACAGATTCCTTTTTAGCATTCAAATGCCCTTCTTGGTACTGTGTATAAGAAGCCGGTTGTTACCTGGACAAGAGCGTGAATCTTAAGGCCAGATTCCCTGATGAGGCCATAGTATTTTTCCATGCGATCCTGCTGATCATCCAGAGAAAGGGGGCATTCTTTTTTCCCATCTTTTCTCTTAAATATTGGTGACACCCATGTTTTCATGAGGGTCTGAATCTCTTCCACGTTGTCTTTTGTCTTCTGAATTCTTTGTTCCAGGTCACGAATGCTATTGGTCATTTGCATGACATAATCCCAAATGCCTGCTCCCCAAAAGAAACACAATTAACTGAAATGGCACATGGTGGTGGCAAAGCTGAAGGGCTGTGTGCTATGAATGATGGGAGTTTATGCCTGTAGGCTTTAGGAGACTTTTATGGGTTTTCTGAAGTAACCTTTTCTTTTTCAGGTTACTTCACTACCAGCAGAGTTCATTCCTTCCTGGTTGTATCAAAAAGCCAACCCTTCCCATAATTCTGATTTATACAGTAAGACAAACAAGGAGGTACTTAGCTATCACACACATAGGGGTTATCATAGTTGCTAGAGAATACCAGATAAATTAGATGATTGTATTTGGACTAATCACATTTTGATTATAGTAATTTGCAATGTGCTGTGTGTTGAAAAATGCTATTCCTTTTCATATATTGGGTAAAGTCCTAACATGTTTAATGGAATATTCTAAGAATTTCGTGAGTTAACTATGATCTTCTTTTTGACTCTAAGTTTTCTGGGGACCTTTATTTTAATTGTCTTCCCTATTCTATAATTTTTTTACACTTCAGATTAAACTTTATAATGGATTTAAAAATCATGGCCAGTCTTACATGATTTGGGTTGTATATATTACTCCCCCAACAAATGTATCTAAAAAGAGGCCAGGTTTGTGTTTCCAATTCAAATCAGGTTATGAGTGGGTAGTAAAGGACTTTTTAACTTCACTGGGTTCTCTCACATTCCTTTCTAACCGAAGGTTGTTCTCTGTTACCTTCTGTTTTCCAGCTCAGTGTCCCCTCTGCAGCTCTCAGGTGGAGATCAATATTTTGCAGTTCTTCCTCTACGAGTGGAAATTCCACCTCAAGCAGAGTTTTCATAACCTTGTTGTACCAATTTGCCATCATCTCCAAGTTGGCCACAAGCTGCTGATAGAATTCCCTGGAGGAGAACATGGTTGCCGCTGTCTCGGGAATACGTTTCACCTCAGTGGGCTGAAGATAGCTCATTTCTTTCAACACTGAAATCAGCTGAGGAAAGAGGCAAACACAAGTGGCATTTGCTCAGGGTCAGCAAGAAGAAAGTAGCTGTGTCCAGGAAGGACCCAAGAATCTCCGGGGCCTAAAGGCCTTGGGCCTCTTGTTAACATCTGTTCCCATCAGTTCCTGGCATACAGCTTCAGGGAAGGAAGAGTAAGTGTTCAGCAGAAGAAAGATAACTTGGAGGGCAGCAAGATGACCAGAAGTGTAAAATGGAAGAGCAAGAGGAGGAGACACTGAGAAAGGAGTCACTGGCCACAGGGAGAGGCCTCTGCTTCCTGAGCTCAGAGTATGTGGCTACTGAGAAGAGACCCTGCTGCCAGCCAGCCACCTGGGGGTGGATCACCTGCTTGAATACCCCGCAGGCATGCAGAGATTAAAAAATCTAAATTTCTGTATTTTCGTCATGCATACACCCGCAGAGAAGCTACTGAGGTTGAGAGAAGCCCATGCCAAGGCTGTCACATGGACTCAGATAGAATAGCCCAGAACTTCTGTAACCCTGATCTGACATTTCCTTGTATTCTAATACACTAGGAGTTGAGGAAAGCGGTCACCCAGGTCCCCTGAACTTCTGTGAGCCCCTAGGTTTATTGGCAAATGCAAAAATGAAAAGCCCAGAAGACGAGACCTTAGAAAACACAGAGAGGTCCTGACAGGATATGAGCACAAGGGACAAAACAGGTGCAGAGTCCTCCCCACCTCCTCAGATAAAGGCACCAGCCACTAGCTTGCCTTCTGATAGGTGGGCTCTAGGCACCAGTCACTAGCTTGCCTTCTGATAGCTGGGCTCTTCACTGCTGACTACCAGCCAGCCCTACTGAGAGTACTAGCCAGCCCTATTGAGAGTACCAGCCAGCTCTATTGACAGTATCAGCCAGCCCTATTAAGAGTACCAGACAGCCCTACTGAGAGTACCAGCCAGCCCTACTGAGAGTACCAGCCAGCCCTACTGAGAGTACCAGCCAGCTCTATTGAGAGTACCAGCCAGCCCTACTGAGAGTACCAGATAGTCCTACTGAGAGTACCAGCTGTCCTACCAAGAGTATCAGCCAACCCTATTGAGAGCACCAGTCAGCCCTACTGAGAACACCAGTCAGCCCTACTGAGAGCACCAGCCAGCCCAAACTGAGAGTACCAGTCAGCCCTACTGAGAGTACCAGCCAACCCTACTGAGAACACCAGCCAACCCTACTGAGAGTACCAGCCAGCCCTACTGAGAGTACCAGCCAGTCCTACTGAGAACACCAGCCAGCCGTACTGAGAGTACCAGCCAGCCGTACTGAGAGCACCAGCCAGCCCTATTGAAAGCAGGGCAAACACTAGCTATTCATTGGGAAAATGAACTCTGTTTCCTATTTACTTTGAAGACTGATCAAGATGAATATTAAAATCTTCAATGTAAAAATCAAAAGCAAATATATGAGGTAGAGAAGACTATTCTAAACAAAACCACAACGTAAGACATAAAACTATATGTATAAAATATCAGACAGGTAATAAAATGTCAAACTAGAGCAATATCTCAAGATTAGATAGATAGATAGATAGATAGATAGATAGATAGATAGATAGACAGATAAACAGACAGATAGATAAAGATAGGTAGATAGTCTTATGGAGTCTAGGCTGACTGCCAACCCTCTACGTAGCTGAAGATAGCTTTAAACTACCTTTCTTCTACCTCCTGAGTGCTAGGATTACAGGTACCACCACCCTCAACTTTCTTCATTTCTCATTATCCCCAAATACCCTAACAAATTACCAAGAAAGGAGAATACTTCTACTAAAGAATGGTTCATAGATGTATACAAACAAAAGAACAAGCCAGTCACAAGAAATACAAAGTCACAATGAGAACATGCTAGATAGATGACTACCTTTACCAGTAATCAAATATATGCACATTGATGGGGAGCTGCTTTTGTATCAATAGTCTGGAAATTACATTAAGAAACAGAATGTGTCTTGTTGACAGAAGGACCAAGTTCTGTCTTTCTGGAGGACAAGATGATAATCTTCACTAAGCCTCAAAACATGAATGTGCTTTAGGTACCATGAGTGACATCTCCAACATGGACCCATTAGTTGTCACTCATTGCCCCTCCAAGTTTTATAAAATATAATGTTGTCAAGGGGATGAAATTACCCTTAGTTGAGAACCTTTGATCAGGTCTTTCCCCGCAGGACCTTCCTTTGGGATTTTTCATATGCTGTCTAATAAGACAGATTTTACATATTGAGACTCTGATTCTCTGCTAGATTGTGGGCTACTTGAAGACAGAACAAAGCCATATCACAGTCTTAGTGACAACTCCTACATGTACTTCAGACCCTGCACAAGAAGTAAGTGTCTGAGGTAGGTCATAAAGGTTTGATACTACCTTTATGAGCAAAGATACTTCACAATGCACTCAAGAGCACATAACGATGACTTGGTCATTGACAGACAGCATATACAACCACAGCCCCGTAAGTTCACATTGTCTAGTAACATCATAGCTTTCTTCACTTTTATACACACACTTTATGATGCTTTCACAATGGCAAAACACATTTAGCAATGTATTTCTGAGGAAGTATCTCTGTCATTATGCAACTCACATCTGATTCCCTGTTGTGCAAAATCAAATACATTGGTCAACCATAGAGAAAGATCATGAACATGGATAACTTAGGAAAATAACTACAACTGAGGATTCATACCACATATACACAAGAAAGTGCAAGGCATGAGTTCTTTTAAGTAGTTTTTGAAATTCTTTTAAGAAGTCTCTTGACCCTTGAAATCAGCAGTTAAGTGAGTGCTTCTTGAACCCCAGTGGAAGTTCCTGTCACCCAGCTGACCTGTGGGCTAAAGTTGACAGAGAGTTGTTTTGTGTTGGGGTCACGATGCAGAAGTGGTAGGGAGAGATTGTACTGTGACTTCTCAGATACCGTCTGACACCAGTCCTCATAAAGTCTTCTCTCATACCTGCAACAATCAGAGACACAACAGCCACCTCATAAACACCCTGCAAACCCCCAGATCCTGGCCCTCTTCCGTAATACACACTGGAGAAGCAACCAGTGTCTGATCCAGCCAGGCTGAGCCAACACCTTCAGGCGCCCACTGTCTGACTGAAGGTACCACTGCAATCAGAGGAGAATAGGAAAATTCCATATGATCTTTGGGAGTGAGATGGAAAGTCATGACTAGCTCCAGAGACATAGAGAAAAGATATTGGTAACAACGGCTCTCCCACTAACCTTCAAGGAGCGCATGGAATTCATTATTCAGCCATCACACATTGACCTGACACATGCCATGTGCTGAGCTTGGAGAATAAATCAATGAATTAATAACTCAAGATAAATAGAACTAATGGTGGGGACCACAGGAAGATTGCCATAACACAGTGCAGCAAAATCAATCTTAGAGAGTTATAGTGGGTGTCAGGCATCTGATGGTAGAGGTGAGGAGCTGGAGGAGGATATGGAAGCCTCATGGGAGAGATGATGGGATGGAGCAATTCTCTACTCAATCTCATGGCTGAGCAGAGGCAGAGTGATGATTCCCATCAAAAAGCAGTGGTGAGGTGTGGAGGTGAGAAAACCTGACTGAACTGGGAACAAAGCATGGAGGGTTCAGCTGGAAGGAAGGCTTGGGGGACAATGGGAACCTCTGAGAGGTTTTTAGTTGTTGGGGATATAGTGACATTATTGGATTTGACCACCAAGAGACACAAATATGGAGGCAGGGAGGGCTGTCAGGAAGGCACCGCAGCAGCACAGGCTGGAGTGGATCTAGTCTTTTGAGAAGGGTTCAGTGGTGGAGACAAGGAAGAGAAGACACACTTAAGATACGTACAGAGTAAAAGGGTAGATGTGTGGGCTCCTGGCAGATGGGGGTGCCACCAGTTCATTTGTCGAACCCAACGGCACGCAGTATCAGAACCTGAGCTTTTGTGCCTATGCCCTACTCTCCAGAATCAGGAGAAAGAACAATGGCAGAGGCAGAAGGCAGGACCGTGCTGGAGGAGGTGCTTGTAGACCCTGAACTTCTAAAAGATCCACTGGGCTTTAGAGTAGGAACAATTAGGCCCGTGTGCAATCTTACGCTTTCTCCCTAAAAGGATTGAGGACGTATTTCCAGATTTACTTTCACTCCTTGCAGTATAAACTATTGCTTTCTGTTCACAGAGCAGTGACTGCCATTCCAGGCCTCTCAGAGCAGCATGTGTGCCCTCCCACGCCTCTCCACAAGGTTCACAGACCCAGGAAAGTGACACTGGGAACATATTTGTGTCCAGAGTAGAGCCACATCTCCCCTGCGCCCCCCGCCCCCAGACTTGTTTTCAAAGCCCTGGAATGCTGTACTCACAAATAGCTCGGCTATAACATAAACCACGCAATAATTTCAGAGCTGATAATGGAACATGCCCTATGAACAGCAAAAGGCTCGGGGTGTGAGGGCGGGGCAATCTGTGGGATGACGCAATCGCCGGAGTGGCTTACTTTTCTAACAGTGAGAGCAAATCTTCGTATTTTTGTATCATTTGCTTTCCTTCAACCGATTGCAAGCACCTACAGTTCATAAAAAAGGGGGAGAAAAACAAAAGATACATAATTAGAAAAAGCCCACATTACGATCAATGAATAAACTACAGTCTACAGAGAAGGTATCAATAACTGGGAGACTGAGACAGGAGGATCATGCGTCCTAGCCCAGCTTGGGCTACAGACAGGGATCCTTTGTATCTCAAGAAGTGAAATGACAACAGAAACCAACCAAATAAGATTTGGGGCAGTTTCCTGGACTGGTTTTCAAAGGGCCTTGAAAGAGATTGCATTCTCTTCCCTGAACATCCTCCATAGGCCACTAGGGGGCATCTGCACTTCCTGAAGTTCCAGGCAGTTCCCCAGATGACAGGGACAGTGTACTCTCTATTGCCTGTGGGCTCCACCAACTGCTCTCCTGGCTAAGCTGGTCCGTATACACACCAGGTAATGGAGGTTTCACAGAATATGAATAAAAAGAAAGCTGAGGGAGTAAAACATTCTAGGTGGTATTGTTTTCTGTGTATAAAGAAAAAAATACCCATATAACATTAATAACATTACATGTATATATACGCGTGCATTCTATACAGGTAATAGATAAAAGACAATAGACATGCAGAGGGAGACAGAGGGAGACAGATACAGGGACAGGAACACAGTGACTCCCTTTCCCTAGACAAGTACCAATAGAGGAGTTTCTGAAATCCATCTAGGACACTTGATCAGAAACACTGCTACTGTTTGACATGTTTAAATGAGTCCCTAGCCACCTCTAACCTCCTAAAGTATATATACACACGCAATGCAACACACATACATACACACACACACACACGCACACAAACACACACACACACACACACACACACACACACACACACACGCACGCACGCACCTGCACACAGAAACGCCTCATAAACACTGTATTCTCACATATGCATGCAGAGGCTTTTGCCAGGATGCTGAGGATGGCAGGAGAGTGAAGGAAGCTCTGCCCTGCAATACTGCTACCCACAACATTCCCCTCTGCTTTTGACACTGGCTGTAACAGTCAACAAGTGTCCAGCTCCAGGGGAAGTGGGTGAGGGATCTTTAGTTCTCAAGCACCTTCACACCAATTGTATGGAGTCTGTTTTTGTTTGTCCTCCTGCTAGCAAAACGAGGCAGCTTATTGCTAAATCTTTAACATCTACTTTCTTCTTATGCCAGCACAGGGCTCTTTACATGATCCCTAGAGCCTTCCACAAACCCCTCACCCCTGCAGAGAAAGCACCGGATTGCTTTGTCCCCTTTTGTGCTGAATGAGCAGCTGTATCAAAGAGTGTTCCAGACTAGGCAGGTGGCTTGCCCCTCGAATTCCCTAATTCCCTCACCCACTGCAGGGTTTCTACAGGCCTCACAATGCCCTCATCTCAGATTCGGATCTGGAGAGACTAAGGCCGAGGTGTATATAGTTTACTTCACAGGGCATGTGTCAGGCCATGTTGCCCGGTGGGTTTGTGGGAGGTCACCAAAAGCAATGCAATGATGTTTCCACTTCACTTTGTGGTAGAAGCCTACAACATTCTTCTCTCTCTCTCTCTCTCTCTCTCTCTCTCTCTCTCTCTCTCTCTCTCTCTCTCTCTCTCTCTCTCATTATTTATTTTATTTATATGAGTGTTCTGCATGCATATGTGCCCGTGCACTGGTGTCCATGGAGCCAGAAGAGGCATTGGATTCCCTGGCCTGAGAGCCACCTAGCACATAGTCTTGTGATTTGTGGTGGAAGCCCAGAGCTAAGAACAAGCTGAGTGGAGGACTACCGAGCCTGGGTACCTCTTAGGAGCTATGTTCCTTGCAGGATCCACTGAAGCCTCTGATACAGCCAACCAGCAGCTCATCCCCACCACCAGCCACCCAGGCCCGGAATGCTCTGCCCTTTAGCTGCTGTTCATGAGGGCATCCTCTGTACTCTCTGCACACATGTCTCAGAGTGTGCTTCCTGGGAGCCAGACCTATGGCAGCTATGCAGTTCCTAGGGCAGCAAGTAGCCTTGACTCCTTCCTGCTTGTCTTCTTCATTTTGCTTTAAGGGGCATGTCTGAGGGACCTGGAGGGCTCAGCCCCACTTCTGGGGGGACGGCTGGAGACCATTGGAAGGAACTGTGGGCTGGAAGCTGGAGACCCAGATGCCTCTCAATTATTTCTTGGTTGTCTCTAGGACCGGAGGGGAGCCATCTCCCTTCTTTTTGCCTGATTTCTCCATCTGCAGTGTTAAAAGCTCACTCAGAGCAGAGCAGATATCCGTTTCTCTCCAAGGGGAGATTGCTCATGTCAGGGCTGCTTGTCTGGCTGGTGAACCTGGAGTGGGGTAGTGACTGATCTCTACAGATGCCGTGCTTCTGTCTCACATCTTGAAAGACATTTAATCTTGCTACCTGAGCCCAGGGTCTCTGTGGACATCCGTGACTCACGCCAATGGCCAGCTTCCAAATCCTTTGCCTTTGTTGCACTTAGTGATGCCAAGTGCTTTGAACAAAATCAAGTCCTCTACAAAGAAGGATCAGAGGAAGACTGGCTGTCCCTGGACAGGAGGCCTCCTGAACACAATGTCTCCTCTCACTCATCACTAGCAGCCGAGAGCCCTCTTAGTAACTCAGCTTCTAGACCTAGCCGTGAAGCAGGCTCATGCTTCCCTAAGCTGGCTACCATTAGTCATCAAGGGAGGTTGCCAAAGAAACAGGACCCCAACTCAGATTCAGACTTGACTGTAGCATTGGTCTTAGTTACCAATTAATCCTAATTGTTCTTAAAAACCCAGAGCCAGATAGTGGAGTAAATGCTGAAAGATCTGAGAGACAAAGGCACAAGCCACAGCCACCTCTCACCTCACCAACTCCTCAGAAAGAAACTGAACTCCTTTCTCCTCCTGCCTTATATTCCTCTCTCTGCCCAGCCATATCACTTCCTGTCTCAACCTTCTTAGTGTTGGGATTAAAGGCATGTGTAACTTCCAAGTACTGGGAGAAAAGGCATGAGATCCCAAGTGCTGGGATTAAAGGTGTGTGTCACCACTGCCTGGCCTCTATGGCTAACTAGTGGCTGGCTTTGCCCTCAGATCTTCAGGCAAGCTTTTATTTGTTAGAGCACACACAAAGTATCACCACACTCAACAGGTGAGGCCAGCAAGCTGCATCTCTAACCCAATCTTCACATCACATTTGGGAAGCACCTGTCATTTCCCAGCTGCCCAGTGGCACAGAGAGAGCTCTTTTCCAAGGAAGTAATGTTGAGGGCTTTCTCAGAGTGTGAAGACCCTGGTTGGCTTTCCTCCAGAAATGGCTGGTGGGGCAGGAGGCAGCCTATGGCGGGCTGAGTTTCAGTTAAACCCGAAGGACCCACATCTCAGCCCACATGTACTAAAATCATCACTGTTTGAGAGACAGGACCTAGTCCTGGGCTGAACGTGGAATGAAGGGCAGATGGTTGTTTGTTAGGGGGTGGGGCGAGCGAGACTCAGTCAGGTGCCTCTCAAGAATCAGAGACTCACGGATGTGTGATGTGTGTGAAGTTGCTGAAGGGAGCCTTGATGCGTTGCCTCAGCTCCTGCGCCCAGCGGATACCCCCGGCCATGGTGGGCATGTTCTTGTGCACAGGAGAGAATCCTGGAGACATGAACAATTATACTGAAGAGAGGGTACAGTCCCCAGCTCCCTCCACCCCAGGAGAGCCTTCTCTAGTTACCCCCACACTGCTGCATCTATTTTCAGACTGAAGTTTCACCCTGGGCCCACACTGAATCAAATACCCTGCTGAAGAGACCCTTGGGAGAACACAACAGCTCAGAGAACATGAGCCCAGCCTAATCATCCTGAATGAACTGGTCTGGCAGCTGGTCATAATTATTTTTCAGGACATCTCAAGAAAGTTTTACTTCAACACCGAGGTTAAGATAACTGTCCTAAACAGACATTTTCATCTCTCTGGGACTCAGTTTTCTCACTTGTAAAATGGGGGTGGCATCTCTCTCTTGCTTAACGACAGTCAAAGGATTCTGTGAGAATTCAGTCAGATTGTGAATGGATAAGCCACGTGGATTATGAAATATGGCAACAGTCTATGTATTATTATCTTAGCCCATATATTCAATTTATTTCTTTCAGCTACCACAATTTAGCAAAGGTGAGATTTCCCCTAAAGGTAAAACCACTCTACATTCAGCTTCCCTGGAAAATTAAGACTGCCCACTGTCTGCTGTCATTTCTAACTCTTGATAGGAGCTGCAAGGGGACAGTCCCTTTACCTCCCCATGAGCTCCATTGAAGAGGTGTGACATCTCCAGGTTTTATTAGCTGCATACTCTATCTTACAAGTTTGAAGCATGAGTTTATTTCCGTTTCACACATGTTCCTTGAGTCCTTGCTATATATAAGGCATGTATGTGGGGTCTGGGTGAGAGGCAAAATAATTAACACTGAAAGGTGGTTCCTCACAGCGTGTGAGCCACATTCCACCCAAGATGCAAAGAATGGCCATTAAAGAAGGACTGTGGCCCACAGGTCCGATGGTGGGAGGAGATGGTGTGGAGTCACATGCCTGCAAAATGACTGCCCCTTGCCACACACCTGCAAAGTAACTGCCCCTCATCTGGCTCCTGCTAGTCCCTCCCTCCAGAAGCTCAGTGGTTACGGCAGTGCAAGGTCCAGGACACTTCTATTCAGGCATGTGAAATGTGATAATGGTTAACCAGTGTGGCAACAGGGATCCATCCACTCACTCATTATGCCAAGGCCACAGCTGATCAGTGGTGGTCAGGGTTTCATTGGTCTAGGTCACACTGGCAATCTCAGCCTCCCACATTGAGAAATGTACAGTTCAGTGAACTCTACAATCACCCAAGGATGATCTGGAATTCCCAGCAAAAAGGACTATGTTTGGTGCTCTCAGAGGACGCCCATGGATCCATAAGTTAACTAAAAGAACATAAGTGCTTTCTGCCCATCCCAGTAACAGAACACATCCCTCACAGTCCCCTGGCAACCACCCTACCATGCTCTGCCTCCTCCTGGATGTGATGACTGTAGATGAGCCTCACAGCATCCAGGTCTCTGCTGAACATTCGGATGAGGGCCAGGTATTTGTGTGACATATCCCGTGCTACCAGGGGTCTTTCAAGGAGGGTTCCTGCGATGTCTAACAGCTGTGGAGAGGATAAGGACAGGCACTTAACCTTCCCAGGGCTGCAAAACTTCTGTTTCCTGTTCTTTTCTTTCCTCCCTTCTTATGACTCAGTACAGGAGGAATCACATATGTTACGGTAGAACTCTAGCAGTGCCCGCAGCACGTAGATAACTGGAACTTTCCCCCTTTCCCTTCTTGGCTTCTTAGTTATTTGGGGGAAGGGTGGGATTATTGGTTTTATGAGTGAAGTTTTCACTGTGTGGCACAGGCTTGGCCTTCCCTTCTCAGCATCCCCAGTGCTGGGATTACTCATCTGTTCCACCGCATGTAGTTTGTCCTTTGTCCTGCTGGGAATCTACCAAGTTTTCCAAGGGTTGAAATAAAAGGAGAATGAAAGACAGCAGCAAGTAAACTGAACTACACATAGAAGATAGGAGGGAGGGAGGTGGTGACAGAAAAAGATAGAAGAAGGGAGTTTTGGGATTTGGCTGCCCTGTCAATCACAGGAACAATGAGGACAAGCGGAGGTGTTTTCCCGTACATTAACCCCAGCCCTAGGTGTCTACTAAACCAGCAGAAAATGGACATGGTTTAATGATGCCCCTGTTCCTGGATTGTAAATTTATTATGCGATGCTGTCTGAGCCTAAGCTACATAGGGACTCAGCCATATTAGGATACATACTGCTGTTTCTAAACCTGAATTCCGTTATAACAGTGGTTCTCAACCTCCTTAACCCTTTAATACAGTTCCTTAGGTTGTGGTGATCTCCAACTATAAAGTTATTTTCATTGCTACTTCATAACTGTAGTTTTATTACTGTTATGAATTAGAATGTAAATATTTTTGGAGATAGAGGTTTGTCAAGGGGGTCAGGTTGAGAACTGCTGCATTATAAAGCTCTGTCATCTCTACTTTACACTTCAGGTCAGAGGTTGAAAAAATAGCCAGTGAATGTATAACCAAATTTGGTCCATGACCTTGTTTCATGGTACATCTTTCAAATGATCTGTTCCAGAGAGAGAGAGAGAGAGAGAGAGAGAGAGAGAGAGAGAGAGAGAGAGAAAGAAAGAGAGAGAGAATATGACAAAGGACAGATATGTTTACAGTTTAAAATATTTATTCTCTGAGTCTTTGCAGAAAAATAAAGCTGCCATGTCTTGTTTAAGTCAATGAAAATGAGAATTATATATATATATATAATTCCATTATATATATATATATAATTCCATTATATATATATATATATAATTCCATTATATATATATATATGGTTCTAGAAAGTCTTGAGTTTTCAGACCATGCCACGGGCAACAAGTAAACTGTAGACGAATTTCTAAACAGTGTTATTAAATAAGAAACACAGAGCCAAATACAGGGATAACAGCCAAAGAGATCAGAGAAATAGCGAAGAGTCACTGGCTAACCTTATCTTACCACCACCTCGTAGCTTTTCAAGAGAGAGCTTCTTCCTGTCTAACCTGCACTTTTATTGCCTTGCTGCTCAGCCTTCTCATTGGCTCTAAGCTCAGCCACATCACTTCTTTGTCACTGCCTGTCTATATAGACCTCCAGGTCTCTGTGGTTGGTACTGGCATTAAAGGCGTGTGTCACCATGCTTGGCTGTGTCCTTGACCACACAGAGACTCTGCCTGCCATGTGATCAGATTAAGGGCTTGTGCCTGACTTCTGTTTATGGCTCGCTATGATCTCTGATCTCCAAGTAAACTTTATTTATTAACATACAAATAAAATCACATTTCCGCACAAATAAAATATCACCACACTAAACACAGAGAAGAGTCAATGGGTTAGGACATACTTTATCCCAGGATGATGGCTTGAAGTGTCTCCTGAATGACTCCAGGTGCACTCTGAGCCTAAGTAAGGATGCTGAACGTTTTCCAATGAAGTCTGTCTGTAGGGATGTTTTTTTCCACCATAAACATCACTCAGATACAGAATGGAAAGCAGTACCTCGTGTGTGTGTGTGTGTGTGTGTGTGTGTGCATATAAGTGGATATAGAGATCAGAAGACTGACTCAAGTATCATTCCCCAAGTGCCATCTACCATTATTTTTTGAAACGAGGTCTCTCATTGGCTTGGAACTCAGCAAGCAGGCTACATCAGCCAGCCAGCAAACCCCAAGGGGTCGCTTGTCTCTGGATCTTCAGCACTTTGACAATAAGCCTGATTTTTAAAAAAAAAAAATGTGAACTCTAGGCATTGATCTCAGGTCCTTGTGCTTGTAAGAGAAGCACTTTAGTAACTGAGCTATCCTCAGATGAGTTATTAAATAATGGGTATTTGATAAGTCTCTCTCTCTCTCTCTCTCTCTCTCTCTCTCTCTCTCTCTCTCTCTCTCTCTCTCTGTCACACACACACACACATGCGCACACACATTCAACAGCAAATAGAGCATGGCACATTTGGGTTATTTAATATTCTAGAATAGCATAGATTTGTCCATCTGAGGTTCATGTGTCTTTGACAACTGTCTGACCAATCACTTAGTCTTTGGGCATTTTCAATGACCAGAAACTTAACTACTTCTCAAGAACATTCATTTCATCTTGAACAACATTGACAGAAAGCTCCTTTCTCTTCTGAACCAAGAATGCCTCTCCCTGTGACTTTTTCCTGACTCAAGTCCTTGAAGCACCAGGCCTCTACACAGATTATAGGAGACCTCTCACACTCAACAGAGTCCTACATCTCACATCAGCATCCTGACTGTGAAGCTATTTATGCCCTCACCATCCTAAACCTCCTCTTTTTTTTTTTTTTTACCATTGGATATGGGAGAAATAGCACCAGGGCAAGAATTATTACAGCTACTGATGCCTGGATCCTATAAACCACTTCTTGGTACATGCTTGGTTCCAGGCTAAGTCAACCTTACACTAATGGTTAAGTAGCCTTGGTATTGCTGAGCCATGCTTTCAGGATAGTAATCACACTAAACCTTTTTACTCCTGATGGTGACCTTACCGATAGATACATGGTGTTTAAAAAGATCACTGTCATTTTCAAAGCATTTTTACATGCTCAAAAATGTATAAGTGATCTGCCTGAGATGCCCAATTATATAAGCCCACCCCCAGGGGGGATATTTGCAGAAAGAAATTAGAAGGGTAGCTTTATTGTCCTCTGATGCTCACTTAAGGGGAACTCGGGGAGACATCTGTTCCACTTGCACCAACCTTAAAGGCATGCTCCACATCAGGTGTGTCGTCAAAAGCTTGAATGAAGATAGTCCCCAGTCTCCGGTCAAGATCTTCCACTCTCTGGTTAAATTTGCTGACATCCTTTTCAAATTCCTGAGGAGACATCACATGGATGGGAAAAAGTCAGGGCTGTCTGCAGCCCAGCCCAGTCTTACTACAGTCTTGGTTGCTAACCTTTCTGATGAACTCAGTCATACCAGAGATTTATTTTAATTCTCTAAACCTCACCGCATGTCCTAGCTTGCTCCTTTGTTGCTGTGATAAAACACTGACCAAAAACACTTTGGGAGGGAAAGGTTTACTTGGCTTACACTTCCACATCACAGTTCATCATTAAAGGAAATCGGAGCAGGAACTTCAAACTGAAACCTGGAGGCAGAACTGAAGTGGAAGCCAGGAAAGAAAGCTGGCTTGGTTTTCTGCCTTGATTAGCTTTATTACCCAGACAAGACCTACTTACTTGGGGATGGTACCACCCACAGTGGGCTGAGACCTCCCATACTAATCCACAATGACAAAAATGCTTCACAGACATGTCCAGAGGCCAAGGCAGTTCTCCAACTGAGTTTTCTTCTTCGTGGGAATGTCTAGGTGTGTGTCAAGTTGACAAAACCTAACCATGACACCATGGTAGCATGGCATTCTGGCCCAAATGGTAGAGATGAGTGAAATGTAAGGTTGCCATCCACTTGGCTTCTTTACCGTGTCCCCATTTTTTCCACTTTCTGAACCTCCTTCTATTCTGCTCACAGTGCCAGCTCATACTATTCTAGATTATCTCGCAGCAACAGCCCCAGGGTCACTCCCTTTTTGGTCTTCCTCCCCCAGGTCAAAATGCATTTCTTTTTCAGAGCAACCAAATTAATCTAATCCTTAGAAGGAAAACAAACTAATTAAATGAATACGCACTATTCCTTCCAAATACACCTTAATTGGCTAAGATGGCAATTAGCCATTGCTCTTAAGTTTCCTAATTTAGCAAATAGAAACGCAGGGTACACAGTTCAATCTGAGTTGCAGATAAACAATTATTTTTTAAAAATACATGTCTGTCTTAATTGTTGTCCTTTATTTGGCAACCCTAAATGTGTCTTACTTCTTAGGGTACAGCAATTTTCAAGAAAACTTTCATGATTCAACTCTCTAATTTGTACAATTACTATTTGCTATTATTGTTTTACAATAGTGATGTTATTATTTCATATTTTAAAGATTTATTTGTTTTCATTCATGTGTATGAGTCTGTCCGTGTGGTATGTATGTGAGTGCAGTTGCTTGCAAAGGCCGAAAGAGGGTGTCAGATTGGAGCTGAAGTTACAAGTGGTTGTGAGTTGCCCAACGTGGGTGCTGGGAACTGAAGTAAGGTCCTGTGCAAGAGCAGCTAGCATTCTTAACTACTAAGCCACCTCTTCAGCCCCTACATGTTTGTATTTTAAAAGAAAAAAAACAAAGAAAAGTAGAAAAACATAGTATATTTCTACTTTCTAACTACATTGGCATTATGATATTATGACATGCTTTCATATGTATATGGCAAAATATATATGTGTGCATATAATATATGGACATATATAATCTATACTTACATAATATGTACACAATAAATGGGACATATGAGATTTTATTAAACAGCTGCAAACACACCATATATGTAACTTATGTATAATTATACTAAATATGTGTATACATTCTCTTTTGTAATCTATATTTTTTTCTTCTTCCCACTAATGGAATTTTTATGAAGTCCCATCACCCTGTATCTGGCCAACGAGGATCCCTGAAAGCTGAACGTGCTCAGAACAGATGCCAGCCCAAATTTCTGCTTTTCCTTTCTGGATTACGGTTTCTTCTCCTGTAATCCTGCCTCTCCCCATGGCAGCAAGTTCTTTATTCTCCTCTGGTGCTTTTGATTCATAGGTCTTGGCTTGGAAGGACTGTAGGTGAGCCCTAGGCTCTGTGTCCCAACTTTTGAAAATGTATCCTTGCTCTTGCTTATCTTGAGTGAGCTTCCTTTACCCAACCCTGAACCACTAATAAACTTCTACTGATTTGCCTGGCCTTTTCTTGGCAGTCTGTGACTGAAGCTTAGAATTTAGTTGCAGCTTTATTGAGTATAATTGGTAAAATGGTGTGTTTAAGGTGTACTGTAATGTTTTGATACATATACACACTGTGACATGATCAGAGCAATAGAGGGAGTGGCCCTATCATGACTGGTAGGTTCAGCATAGATTTTTACTCAAAATCCATGAGAATTCATCACCTCATATAACTACCATTTTCGTGTGCACACGCCCTTAGAACTACCTCTTCAGCAGATTTCAAATACACAATACACTGTTATCACTATCATCGCCACATTGTACATTATACCCCTAGAATTCACTCACCCCTCCCCCACCCCATCAAGGACACTTTGTAAGCACTGACCAACTCCTCCCATTTCTCTCTCTCTCAGCCCAGCGCCAAGGTCCAGTCTAGTCAGCTCTGTATACCCGACAATTTGGCTATCTTAGGATACCAGGTTTAAGAGAGGTCATGAAGTATTTGTCCTTTTACAACTGGCTGATTTTGCTCAGCTTAAACTTTTGAAACAGTAAAGTCATCACCACGTCTCCTGTCTTCCCGTGCCGATGACCTTAGGTAGCATTAGTCTAGAGCTGTCGATGGTGAGGAGGGGCTCTTTCTGATTTATCTCCTGCACACAGAATAATTAGGATCTTTCTAATGACATGGGGATAATTTCTCCCGGCCCTAACAATAAATAACAAAACCACTAGGACCATGGAGCCAAAGAAGATTCTTGAGAAAAAAAAGCACATAAACACTTAGGCACTGCAGCTAGGGACAGCTGGGGGCGGGGGGAGGGCCAAGGCTTGTGATTTGGGCACTCCAAATCCTACCCTGTTCTGGGGGTCCAGGCAGTCATTGGAGCACTCCAAGAAGACCTTGTACATCTCCTCGAACTCCTCGTGCATTTGCTGAACTTGCTGACTCAGGGCGTTTCCTCTGATGCCACTGAACTCAAGCTTTTCCAGCTTGACGAAATCCAAGGCTGTCTTCAGAAGACCCTATGAGGACAATTCACAAACAGTGAAGGGGACCATCACCACCCTCCTCCTCACTACCAAATGGAGGAGACAGAAATGACAGGGGTTGTAGTTGCTTAGGAAATGCAAGGGCTGGTCAGTTTTTTTAACCTTATTACTAGATTGGATTCCTTAAACTCCATAACAAACTGAAGAAAAAGTACAAATGAAGTGGATTCACAGAAGCCAGAATAAACAAGTAAATCATAAAATGTATGCTTCAGCATCTGTGTCCTATTACAAAGTATAGAAGATGATAATAATTGGTGGGTTTAGCTTGAATTTGTATTTTAAAAAAGTAAATGTCAAGCCAGGCATGGTAATGCATACCTATACTCGCAGCATTAAGGGGACAGAGGCAGGAGGATCAAGGCCAGCCTTGTTTAATAGTGAATTTGAGGCCCCCATGTTTGAGAGGATATTGATAGGCAGTAATCCTGCAAACAGCCTGGAGTACCAATTTAGAGGATGGCACTGGTCTTCTTGCAACTCCCTCTACCAAATGAGAATCATTCCCCTCCACCCACAACGTAAGTGTCCTGGAGCATGCCAAACCACATTTCCATCTCAGTGACTTACCATCTCTTTGCTGGGTTTCTCTATCTGGCACAGGGTAATGGTAACACTCCATGACACTGTGGTGGGAACTAACTTGAGTTGAAGTGCATGCTAGGACAAGTGTGTATTACTGTCACCATTGACACACCACATCCCAGTTGTGCTCAGAATTAAATGGCAGATGGATGACGTAGCTCAAAAGCTTTGGGGAGGAGTCCCTCTCAAGTCTATGGAAGCCATGTCACATCTAATAATGTGAATGCCTTCTGAGCATGTTGAATGGGGAAGATTGAATCTATCCCTTGTGAGCACCTGTTTTAAAAATCACAAAACCTTCAAATCAAAGCGTGCTTGCTGTCAGAACCCTCAGTCTACAAACCTGTTCCTCTCACGGAGAGATGAAGGTAAAGGTTCTAAGTCATTTTGCAGAGTTTGTGAGGGCCCCTGGGAAGGTCCCTCCAACACGAAGAGGTTGGAAGGGTAAGAACGGGTGATAGTACCACACCTGCTCTGTGAGACATCAGGTCCTGTCTCTACTCCAAATCTTCCCATAGCCAGTGGTCACTGCTGCTACTGACACCAAGTCCAGAAATAATGACAGAGGCACAGCAGTGAGGAGGAGCCACTCACTTCCCCACCCAACCAGGAGGTCACCCAGGAAGCCTCTGGCAGCTATTCAGAAGTCTATTCATTCATCCAGGCTGCAGCACCATTAACAGAAATCAGCAGAAGAGGCAGGACTGGGACAGCAGCAAAGAAGAGACAGGGGCCAATCAGAGCTTCTGCCTCTTGTGTGTGTAGGGGGCGGTGGTGAGGGAATCACTGCTTTAAAACACTAGGATTTATGTCATAGAGAAAGCACCTGTCTAGCATGGCGAAGTCTCCAGTTTTATCCTCAAAATTAGAAAAGAGAAAAAGGGGGGTGGGGGAGAAGGAAGGAAGGAAGGAAGGAAGGAAGGAAGGAGGGAGGGAGGGAGGGAGGGAGGGAGGGAGGGAGGGGAGGGAAGGAAGGAAGGAAGGAAGGAAGGAAGGAAGGAAGGAAGGAAGGGAAGGGAAGAATGAACTAGAAGAAAGCATATGGAAACACTTCAAGACATCAGTGTAGTCAAAGGCTTTTTGGCTAAGACCTCCAAAGCAGAGGACACAGAAGCAAGAGCAGATCTATAGGGATGGATGAGATTGCCAGCTTCTGCAGAGCAAAGGAAACAATAGAGTGAAGAGACAACTGTGAATGCATGAAGGATTACAAATAATTCACACAATAGGAAATGAATATCCAGATATATAAGGAACTTTAAAAAAATTGGTAACCAAAAGCTAAATAATCCAATTGTAAATTGGATAAAGGACATGAATTAGACACTTCCTGTAAAAAGAACTATGAAAACTGTGGCAAGGATTAGATGGACCAGTGATGTCTCAGCATCAGCTACAAAGGCTATGCATGATGCAATAGAATTAAAATTGATATCTTTTGTGCTAAAAGAATCCACCGGTCATCAGCCCAGAACACATTAGGAAGATGGTAACTTTATGTGCAACATTTGATAAGCGAATGTTCATGTTGTGATTTCTTGCATAATCATTAAAAGGGTAGAGATAACACATATAATCCAAATACCACAAAGCCAGTCTAATGCTTTTACCTGGAGGGGAGGAGAGAGTTTGAACCATGGAAGAACACAAAAAGGTGTCTGTGTGCTAACAATATTTTATTCTTGGCTTGCAGTGATTGTGGGGGTGTGGTAGTTTGTGTGATCATTATTCATTAAAAGTTTATATTTACATTTTGTTGAAAAAAAAAAGAAAGAAAATCAGGGGGCTCTCAAGTTTGTGAAAAAATGTTCAACCGCACTAGATTTTAAAGAAATGCAAGTCAAAACGGCAATGAGATATCAGCACAGTTAGGGTGGCTGGAGTCCAAAAGACACAAGCTAACAAATGCTGGTGAAGAATTAAGAAGCTCACAAGAGAGAACAGTATGGAGGGTCACCAAGAAGCTGAAGACGGATCTACTGTACAACCCCCATTCCCTTCCACATAAGTATCCAAAGGAAATTATTTCAGAATGTGAGAGACACCTGCACACCCATATTTGTTGTTGCACTACTCACAGTTAATGAGATATGGAATGACCCTTATGTCCATCATCTGGTGAATGGGTGAAATTTGTTACAGATAATGACACTTTATCATGAGGTGAAATTGTCAGATGCAGGAAGACAATAAGCCATGTTCTCTCGCCTGTGGATGCTAAAAACAGCTCAATCAAAAAGTGCAGTGGTGACTTCGAGGGACAGAGAAGGTCAGAGCAGGGGTAGGGGTGGAGGTTTGATAATGGGTACATACACACAATCAGATAGGAGTAAGGTCTAGTACTCGACAGAATAGGGGGGAGTGGCAGTTCATCATAACCTACTACACATTTGATAAGAGAATAGAAAGGAGGAACCCAAAGGCCCATAGAGTAATGGGAACATGAAAATTATTGATCACCCTGATTTGATAATCTGTATTGCACAAAGTATTGAAATATCACGGTGTACTCCACAATACTTACACTGATTGTTTGTTAATCAGTAAAAGACTTGTAGGTGGTTAATACCATGTTAACCACTCTGGTTTGATCATCATACTATATACACATGACATATTACCACAACCGAGTCTCATAAACTTGCACAATTCAAATAATCGTAAGATATGGGCTGGGAATGCTAACACACATAAAATCCCACTACTTGGGAGGCTGAGTGAGGATCATGAGTTCTAGGCCAGCCTGGGCTACATAACAAGACCCTGACTCAAAGAAACAACAATTGTTCAACCTTATATGCTTAGAAAGAAAACAAATGAATTCTACTTGGATGTAATTGCCTTTGATGGTAATTCCTATCTCTAACAAGCTGCTTAGTTTTACAGGAGGAAAGTATCCGTGCCCTGGACTATTTCCTCACCCTTCACAATTGTGTGGATATCAATTTCAATTTGTTAGGAAATCCTCTCTAACCACGTTTAAAAGACACAGGCATCTTGATACATTTGGTTATAGCAGAAAATGAGATGATAATTTCATTATACTCTTTGATTTCTCAGGAAGACTTGAAGCATGTTTCTAGGTGGTCAGCAGGAGGTGTTTTCTTGATAATATAAGCGGGAGGTCACAGTATCCAAACTGTACGTAGTCATTGTGTTTTTGGAGAAAGTCTAGTTAGTGACTTTCTCCAAAATTCTTTCTCCATCCTAACAAATGGGCCACAGTTTCGCTGCAGGATCTACAGATGTTACAACAGGCTGTCGGTCTCTGCTGCCACTGCAGACATCAAAGAGGGCACTGGATCCTTAAAGCCAGCTGTACCTCCCACTGGGGTATCTTATTAGGAAATGATAGATATTTATAATGTTCTATCTAACTTATAATGGTTTATCTAACTTAACAAATGTAGAGTGGATGACACATTTATTTGGGGCTCATTTGAAGGTTTGGGGGGCTTTCCTTCAACTCCTATCAACAGGGCTTCCCCTTTTCCCTCCCCCAACACCACTCTTTCTGCTCTTCTCTGCTCTTTCTGTCTTAGCTTTCTTCTCAACTCGTACTCTGGCATGGTGATATTTAACATTACGTTGAGTTATGTCATTTTCTACCCATCTCTCCCAAGAGGTTACAAATATTTCAGTCAGTACTTGTTGGATGGAGGCACGTTCTCTCTGCTTTGACTTAGCTGCTGCCCATCCAGCAGGAAGTGACAAAGTGACAGAATACCTAGCAATCGCGACTGCTGAGGAGTTAGTGAGAATGAGAAAAGTTGGGTGGACAAAGGAAAGGTAGGACACCTCCGTGCTGAATGGGTCTTTGACACGCGCAAGGTAGACACACCTGTGGTCCTAATTTGAGGGGAGAAACAAGTGTCTCGGTGAGCCGACCTGGTCTCACCATGTGGGTTGAAGTCAGTCAACTGCTGATTCATAATCATTTTAATCTACAAAAAAAAGTGAGCAGTCCCTGGGACGCTGTCAAATAAAGCAAACCATCTACTTTTCAGGTAGTCTGAACAGAGTGCGTGTCCTGAGCTCTTTATCACTGGGAAGATTCTGGCACAATGTGCAGTGGACAATGGAGAAATAATTTCTAGAGTAGTAGACATAGAGTTTTCACACTGACCACAACCCATCATTGATTCTTAATTTAGATGTAGGCTCTCTTCACAGCCCATTTAAAAGTCTTCAGTGACAGATAAATGGCAAATTTAAGCCAATAGGGTTAAATATTTTTAAATGTCAATGTTTATTAATCCCAGTAGTAAAACCATGAAATGCATTATGCTGTGTACAGGATGTACCTATGAGCCTTGGAGCTAGGATGCATATCATTGAAGAGCTGTGACACTTATGTTCATACAACCCTGGTCCTGCTCTTTGCTGGC